ACTCTTGGGTCGCATCCAATGGATCCACAAAAACTCGAACATCAGATAATTGAAGTCTTCGGGATGGAATTTGGTTCAGAATCTCCTTCACACTCTGCCAAACCGCATAGTTATCCGATCGATATGGCTCCACTTCACGATCCGAGAACTCTGACGCTTTTTCCTCGGAAACTATCTGGAAAATTTTGGTTTTTCGTAAAACCTGTAATAGAAGGGCTCCCACGCTGTCAAGTTTGAACTCAATTATCTCGGCTCTTTTGAGAGATACTGAGAATGTCACAACTGACAAAATAGTCATGATATTATGATGAACAATCTATCAATTGACAACGTTTTGATATGTTTTACAGGAGCCAAGATGAATTGGCTCAAAGTTAGGGGCCCTTCTATGACAGGTTTTACGATATTTCAGCGATATTTAGCTACGTTTTAGCTGTGGAAACCTGGGCAAAATATCCAAAATCAAGTGGTTCCTGTCGAGATCTATCACTTGGTACCAAAACCTTCTGAATGTCTCGTTTTAGAGACAAGTTATCAGCCGGCGCACTTGCAACTATGCATTTGAAAACCTCAAAAATCGTATATTCTTCCAGAAGGACTAACTGAATATGTCACCGTGATGGCTTGCATCGTAGTGGACGCCGAGCCGATTTTCGGTGCAATCTACCGCCCGTTTTTCAATGAAACAATATTCGGCCTACAAGGATTCGGAGTGGTGACGTCGGATGGGAAGAAGATTTCACCTGTGGACGAGGGAAAAACTGATAAGAAAGTGGTTGTATCGAGAAGTCATGCGGGAAAAGTGAAAGAAATTGTTGAGAAGGTTTACGGAGATAAAATGACAATTGAAGCGGCTGGAGGCAGTGGATATAAGACGTTGAGGCTGGTTAATGGCACTGCTGGTAAGGGAAACAAATATATTTTCTAAGCTGAAAATCGTTGAATTTCTTTGGAAAATCCCTCGAATTTAGGTGAAAATTACGACTTTTTGGAAACAATTTCTTCAGAATTAGCGTAAAACCTTTAATAGAAGGGCCCCACACTGTCAAGTTCGAACTCAATTATCTCAATTTCTATAAGAGATATCAAAAATGTGTCAACTGATAAAATGTTATTGATATTATGGCAAACATTTTATTAGTGGATAGATTTTTAGATCTTGCATAGGAATAAAGATAATTGAGCTTCAACCTTACAGGCCCTTCTATTACAGGTTATACGGTAGCCGACTTTAATATTTTGTGCAACACACCGGACGCGCAATTGCGGATTTTTAGCTACAGTAACTGTCCGGAAAATTAATTAATATTCTGCGCTTTCTGTATTTCAGATTTTCTGAATTATTTGGAATTTCTGTCATGAAATTCTGAATTTTTGAATTTTAGAATTTTCAAAATTCTGATTTTCAGAATTGTTCGGATTTTGAAATTCAGAGTTTTAGAATTTTTCGGAATTTTTGAAATTTTCGAAATTTAAGGACATTCTGGAATATTGAATTT